AATTGCATTGTCTTATAAGAAATAAGACAACGCAATTGTGTTTTCTTATTTTTAGTGTAAATTATCTTGTTCCATTGGCAAAATGTCTCTTTTATCTCCTCAATTCAAGAACAAATGCACTGATCTTAAGTAAAAATGACTTATCTAGGTTTAGATTTTTTCCAGTGCTCATATGGAAACATAAAGAGGCTTCAGATAAGGACGTCTGACGCTCGTTTCATTTCTCTAAGAACAGATACGCGTCAATAATTAGCTGTAATCTGATTTAATTACGTCTTTTTCAGCATAGCGCCAATTTGGGCAACGGAAGGTAATGAGTTTTATCAGAAAAGAAAAGACATTTAACCTGCAATTTTTAAAACAGGGTAAATAAATTAAAACATTCGCCGCCAAAGGATTAAATATTACAGCTTTTCTGAATCCCAGAGGGCGCCATGCAGTGAAGGAAAGCATCTAATACAGTAAAACCCGTTCCAGTCCATGTTTTGCAGGCTTTATCAGAGCAGATCTATATTAGAACTGATGTGCGGACCACACAGAGCTGCATGTGTCTGTATGACTAAGTGTGAATGTGTGATAACAGGACAGCACTAAGTATTCACACCCTAAATGATCAACTCCGCTTCCTTCTCTGCAAAAATTTGAAGGTTTTTCTTAAAAACCGGAAACTACAATTCAATTAAAAACCTGTAAAAAAAAAAAATATTTTGTTTTCAACATGTTTAGATTTTCTTTTGACTTGTTTTGAACAATTAAAAACTTCTGCAAGTAAGAAATGTGTAAAGGAAAATATACTTATGAGGTTTTAAATCAACTTTTTGCGTCTTTTTTTTGGTTACATTTTATAAGCATTTAATTAAACCATAAAACATGTCGACTAAACAGCCCTTTAAACACATATATTTATAAATAACTCCACATGTATAAAAAGATCTAAAAGGTAAGGGTGAATGAAAACAGTTGGAACAGACACAGAGTTTAAATTTAAAGTGAAAATGTCTCACCTGAAACATCCCCGACTTCGACTTACTGACTTCGACTCATTGTGTGTGAGTCTGGTTTTGAGTGTTTGCGTGTTGTCAGGAAGTGGTCACATGTTCTTCCTCTCTCTGGTCGACTCATTAGACTCCGAGCTTCTTCCTCATTATGATGACTTTAAAGATCGGCCGGCTTATAAATAGAAACTTCAATACAAGCGACGTTAAAAGAGGAAAAAAAAACAAGCTCACTTTGATTATTGACTCTATTTATCTATTGAATATAACAATAGAACAGAATCATTCTATTCAGTTTATTTCTATAGCTCCAATTCACATCATGTCATCTCAGGTC